AATTACAATAGCCAAAAGTCACTTATCAAAATACCCCAAACTTATCATTTTGCTCGTCCTCGAGCAAAGACAAATAATCATAGAGCAGCAACCAAAGTATTATTGAGTAGAGATAGATTCAAGCTTCAAAAAGAACATTTTCTTACTTACAAAAGAAAATGAAACTAAGCTCAAGCAATGTCAAAACTCTTTAACCAACAAGATAATTTTTCTCCATTTTTGGCCCTATGCGTGTGTGTGCACAATTCTTCATAAATTGCCATCTCTCATCCCAAAAACAAATTGTATGCACAAGCAAACTTAACCATTTCACATCCACAAGCTACATGCAAAATACTAAATAGCATCACAATTTTAGGATAGGCAAGAATTCACTCATATATCAGTCAGGAAATAAATCAGAACTTTAGCATCTCTTGTTCTTATAAGCCAATTCACCATGAGCCAAGAATGTTTAAATGATAAAGAGTTTTCTAAATCCAATATTTTCCTAACTAAATATTTTTTCACACACTAAAGAATCTGCAAACTTCCTTTATGTTTCAACAATTTTTACACTTATGAGACACGAGGACTGGCCACTAGCCCTGTAGCTTAAGGAACACATCTGTGGCCCTCCTCTACAATCACTTATAAAGATCTTTAAGTAATTGACAAAATCATAATATATCGACAATGGATTGCACGAGGTTACACTAGATTAAGTAACTACTACTACTACTAAGATCGCTAAAAAGCCACTCATAACTTACTGCTAGCGTTGTATCTATAAGCAAGATAGGGAAATATAATTGCATTTTCTTTCCACTCCATTTTCTTTTCACTCTTTTCTTTCTCCTCACTTCTTTTTGGTAATCTTTTCCTGTCTCTTATTTTCTCTCAAGAAAATGGTATGCAAAAATACGAATGTGATTTTTTTATTATTTTTTTCCTAACATTTTCTTTCTGAAAAGTAAAATAAACATGTTCTTTCTAAAAAATAAAGTAGAAAAATACACTGGGATGTAGTGTCCTCACTGGGAAAAGATATTTGAAAGCACCTAAAATGTTAAACAATTAGGACAAGGACTTCTCGTATAGCGTTTTAAAAGTTTAGTTTAGGAAATACCAGCAGAAAAACCTTATTAAACAAACACATTGACAAATGGCTCATGACTTATATGAACAACAAACGTTAAATTTCCTCAATTCCTTAATTATCATCATAGACACAAGGTACTATCAAGTCACACCTGAATGGTGAATTAATAAAGATTTAGCATGCTTTTCATGAATGATAAAACCAGCTAAGCGCAACTTTTAAGCAACGAGAAAAACTAAGTACTCAGAATTGTGTGATCAATAAGATTGTAAAAGAGCCAAAAAAAAAGTCAACTACACAATCAATAAGTTCAGCATGCTTGAAACTAGTTTAATATTTACTTTGTAAGAGTAGAAACAGTAATCACTAACGCCAGCTAGCATTGTCTACCAGAACTTAATAAGGAATCACACTGTTGATGCAGAAATTTTGCATCTTGGGATCTCACCAAATTCGCACCAATATTCTAGAACAAAGGGATTGATGACACATGCAAAATAGTACAACACTAAAACCGGTGTGGCTTTTGCCACACGGGCTCCGATGCCTAAGTTAGTATCGGATAAAGAGTAGGGTTGTTAGCATACCTCTATGGTTTGACTTACCCTTGTATTTACAATGGTCGAGTCCTAATCACTTAAGGATCAGCTGAACCCTAATCCTTCTAGGATTTACATTCGTCGAATCCTTATGCACTCAGAAGATCACAAAATGGGCTTTACGCTGTACTATTCAGGGCCGAGACCAAGTCGACTCGGACTGGCCTTGCACGGGGGTCGGGAATCATTGGAGAGGTTCTCAGCCACTGGGTCGAGAACCCCTCGGTGCTAACCCCGGGTCGGCTACGGCCTGCCTGGGTCGCTGGGCCCCGACCCGCTTACCTCTCTCCAGGTCTGCTCCTTCTTTGGCTTTCTTTCCTCTTTTCGGTTGCTTAGCCTGATCTCAATTTTGTCCCTATAACAATAGCCCCCACTCTGAAAATAGAAGCATAGAGCATGATAAAGCTTCTATATTGAGAGTATTTGTCGCTGCTAGTTATCGTCTCCATGAGCTGGCTGTCATAGGCTGATTTTCTTTGTTGTAGTTGGAACACTTGTCGTTGTTAGTTGTCGCTTTTATGGACTGGCCAGTTATAACCCCCATACCCTTTTGTCGCAGTCGGTTGTAGTCAAGTCCTTTGGTTTACTCTTGCGTTTCTAACCTTCTTGGCTTTTACCAATGGTTTCATACCCTGAGTTCCGTTGTACCCTTTTGTTGTCGTCGGTTATCGTTTAATGGGCTGGCAGTCATATCGCCCCTTATCTTTTGTTGTAGTTGGCTGCAATTAAGTCTCTTAGGCACTACTAGACGGTTAGTTTTTACTATTAGATTTTGGCCTTGGAATCTAACTTTTAACAGGACCAGTGGTACTTCTTTTAGGTTACTAACCTATTTGGCTTTTGCCAATGTTTTATACCTCAGAGTTTACTCCCTAGTTTCTAACCCATTTGGCTTTTGCCAATGACATTTATACCATGAGTTTAGTAGACACCCTTGGGTTTCTAACATATATAGCTTCTGCCGGTTTTTTACCCCAAGTTAAATCAACACCCTTGGGTTTTTAACCTATTTTGGCTTTTCCATATGGTTTTCTACCCGTGGGTTTCATTGATTGGTTAGGCCTGCCCGTTTTCTGTTTTCACCTTGATGGGCTTGTACGCATGCCTTTTTCAGCACCTTGGGATTATCTTCCTTGGTTTCACTGACTTGCTTGCTTGTTGACCTGCTCCTAGGTCTGTCCCAGTTCGAGTTCCTTGAACAACTGTTGATTTACTTACCCATGTACACATGCCTTTTTCAGCACCTCGGGATTCTCTTCCCTGGTTTCACTGACTGGCTTGCTTATCAGCCTGCTCCTAGGTGTGTCCCAGTTCGAGTTCTTTGATCAACTGTTGATTTACTTACCCATGCCCCCACTTGAGGGTTTGATGTTTAGAATAAAGATAACCGCTCAAGTAGAAGTCAATCAATGAAAAGGCACCTAATGACTTTATTGAAAGGGAAATAAAATAAAAATCTAGCCTATTTCAATGCAAATATGTAATTATCATATAAAAAGAAGGTAAAAACAACCTATTCTATTAAACATGCAATTAATATGGTCTTATCTATGGTAGAAAATAGAAAATGTAACATATCCCTGAAGTTTGAGTCCTGCGAGCTTCCCTAGTTGCTTCTTACTAAGGTGTAGTTTATATTTTCGTATTGTTTTCCCTTGTCCTCACTATTCCCACCAATATGGTCTTTTATCTCCCTAACGGGTGACCTGTCATTTCGATCTCTATCCGGAGTTGTCCTGGATTTCTCAAATTTTTGTTGAGGGTTTCGCTGGACTAGTTGACCATGCCCGCTTTCTGACCTCTCCCATCTTGATCTATGTTGCTTTTCTCCACGTCTCTCTCTCTTTGAGCTATAATCCGCCCGCTCTCTTTCAGGGTCCCGTCTTAAGTGAATTAATTCTCCGGCACTCATGTACTTCTGGCTTCAGCTTAAAGCCTCCGAGAAAGTGCCTGGAGTTCTCTTCCCAAAAAAGAATACTAATCGTTTATCTTTCATACCGGATACAAAGGCTAGCAGTGCCACTGCATCTGTCAGACCTTCCACTTGTAGCTTCTCTTCGTTGAACTCAGTCATATAGTATTTGAGACTCTTTGTCGCCTTTTGCTTGAATATCAGTAGGTATGTTATTAGTGTGCTTCTAATCCGCCCTCCGACGAATTTGTTGACAAATGCCTTCGCCAATTCTTTGAATCTTGAAATCGACTTTCTTTTCAACTAACGGAACCGGTTGCGTGCCGAGCCAGTCAGAGTGAAAGAAAACACTCTACATCTAATGGCTTCTGTTATGCCGTAAATGTTTGCCCATTCTTGATACGCATCGAGGTGATCTATGGGATTTTTCAAACTGTCATATTGTGTGGTGGCAGGTAGCTTGAACTTCGGAGGAGTTTTTTCCTTCATTATCTTCTCCTTAAAGGGAGAGTCTGCCTGGTTCATCAGCTCCTCGAGACCAAACTTCTGGTATTGGTGTCCTCCTGATCGTATCTCTTATCACACAGTTTGACCAGATGGCCTTCTTCTGTCGACAGTAGTATGCCCGAGGCCGACTCGGTCAATTGGGTTCCTCTTATTTACATTGGGCGCGACAGACCTCCGTTGTCGTACATATGCTTGCCGACCTAACCGGTCGGGGACATTGGTTCGAGGTTTGTCGTTTCCTCATATGTTCAGTTTGCTCCATGCATGGCTGGTTGTCTCCCCAACTTCTTCAGTCATCGGAGCTTTACCCTTTCGTGGATCGCAAACAAGCACTGGTCGTTCCATCTCATGGTGTTTGAGTTTTTGCAGAAGCAGGGGCATGCTCCGGTGCATTCCCTCTACCTTCTCTTCTAAGGCGGCCATTTTGTCGCTTAGTTGATCCAGACTTTCGATCGACTTATCTTTCGATCCGAGAACTGGTCGGTAGGTATCCGTTGGTCTGAGAATTGGTCAGCCGGTATCTCCAAGAACTGGTCGGTTAATCTCTCCTTCGATTGCCTCGGGCGGAGATGTGTCCCTATTAACCTTCCTCATGTGGTGGCACTCTTCATCATAATGTCGTGGACTCCTTCCCGAGCTCATGTTGACACGTCTGCAATCTCTAGTCGTCCCTACAGACGTTGCCAATTGTTGATGGAGAAATTTGGTCTCTTGGGATGTCGTCGAAGTCGCACCAATCTTATAGAATAAAGGGATTGATGAGACCTACAAAACAGTACAACACTAAGACCGGTATTGTAACGCCCCAGAACTTCCCACACATTTCTAGGTCACGTTAACTACCCACCTGCCTAAACTTAACTCCAATCACGAGATGACAACTCCCTGTGAAATAATTATATAAAATAAAGCTTCAACTCTCATCAATTTACCAATGAATCAACTCTATAGAATATCAAACAAACATCCTCCGTGGACAACCCCATGAGGCAACTTCATTATTCTAACTAGGCAAACTCAATAAATGGAAGAAAACTAAAATAAACACCTATTCCGAAATAAAGTAAACAACGAGTGGGAACCTCCCAATTGTTCAAATATGAACAAGTAGTTTATTGACCAAACCATAAAGTCTTAACCATCTAAACCTAAGCTAAGCAAAAGCAACTACGCAGCCTATGGTCCTCGCTCATCATGTCTCCTCCACTTCATCACCATGGTCGCCAACGAATCCTCCGCCTGAAACAACAATTGTAGAGG